TTTGGGAAGAATGGGAATTTTTCTAGGGAAATGTTTCAATGCAGAGAAATGAGATTTAATTCACCCAGGGTGGGGAAAAAGAAGGAAGGGGGTGGGTTGTTGGTGGGTTGATCCTTCCCTGGGTATCCTGTAATTATCCAAAGTTGATATTAATGGGAAATAAGGCTAAAAAAAGGGGAATTCTGGGGTTTTCCAGCCTTTGTTTTTGGGTTTTCTTTCTGTAAGGGTCAGGAAGGGGAAGGTCCCAAGGGGATGGGATCCCAGTTGGAACTGGAGCACCCAGGAAGGTCCTAAGGGGATGGGATCCCAGTTGGAACTGGAGCACCCAGGAAGGTCCTAAGGGGATGGGATCCCAGTTGGAACTGGAGCACCCAGGAAGGTCCTAAGGGGATGGGATCCCAGTTGGAACTGGAGCACCCAGGAAGGTCCTAAGGGGATGGGATCCCAGTTGGAACTGGAGCACCCAGGAAGGTCCTAAGGGGATGGGATCCCAGTTGGAACTGGAGCACCCAGGAAGGTCCTAAGGGGATGGGATCCCAGTTGGAACTGGAGCACCCAGGAAGGTCCTAAGGGGATGGGATCCCAGTTGGAACTGGAGCACCCAGGAAGGTCCTAAGGGGATGGGATCCCAGTTGGAACTGGAGCACCCAGGAAGGTCCTAAGGGGATGGGATCCCAGTTGGAACTGGAGCACCCAGGAAGGTCCTAAGGGGATGGGATCCCAGTTGGAACTGGAGCACCCAGGAAGGTCCTAAGGGGATGGGATCCCAGTTGGAACTGGAGCACCCAGGAAGGTCCTAAGGGGATGGGATCCCAGTTGGAACTGGAGCACCCAGGAAGGTCCTAAGGGGATGGGATCCCAGTTGGAACTGGAGCACCCAGGAAGGTCCTAAGGGGATGGGATCCCAGTTGGAACTGGAGCACCCAGGAAGGTCCTAAGGGGATGGGATCCCAGTTGGAACTGGAGCACCCAGGAAGGTCCTAAGGGGATGGGATCCCAGTTGGAACTGGAGCACCCAGGAAGGTCCTAAGGGGATGGGATCCCAGTTGGAACTGGAGCACCCAGGAAGGTCCTAAGGGGATGGGATCCCAGTTGGAACTGGAGCACCCAGGAAGGTCCTAAGGGGATGGGATCCCAGTTGGAACTGGAGCACCCAGGAAGGTCCTAAGGGGATGGGATCCCAGTTGGAACTGGAGCACCCAGGAAGGTCCTAAGGGGATGGGATCCCAGTTGGAACTGGAGCACCCAGGAAGGTCCTAAGGGGATGGGATCCCAGTTGGAACTGGAGCACCCAGGAAGGTCCTAAGGGGATGGGATCCCAGTTGGAACTGGAGCACCCAGGAAGGTCCTAAGGGGATGGGATCCCAGTTGGAACTGGAGCACCCAGGAAGGTCCTAAGGGGATGGGATCCCAGTTGGAACTGGAGCACCCAGGAAGGTCCTAAGGGGATGGGATCCCAGTTGGAACTGGAGCACCCAGGAAGGTCCTAAGGGGATGGGATCCCAGTTGGAACTGGAGCACCCAGGAAGGTCCTAAGGGGATGGGATCCCAGTTGGAACTGGAGCACCCAGGAAGGTCCTAAGGGGATGGGATCCCAGTTGGAACTGGAGCACCCAGGAAGGTCCTAAGGGGATGGGATCCCAGTTGGAACTGGAGCACCCAGGAAGGTCCTAAGGGGATGGGATCCCAGTTGGAACTGGAGCACCCAGGAAGGTCCTAAGGGGATGGGATCCCAGTTGGAACTGGAGCACCCAGGAAGGTCCTAAGGGGATGGGATCCCAGTTGGAACTGGAGCACCCAGGAAGGTCCTAAGGGGATGGGATCCCAGTTGGAACTGGAGCACCCAGGAAGGTCCTAAGGGGATGGGATCCCAGTTGGAACTGGAGCACCCAGGAAGGTCCTAAGGGGATGGGATCCCAGTTGGAACTGGAGCACCCAGGAAGGTCCTAAGGGGATGGGATCCCAGTTGGAACTGGAGCACCCAGGAAGGTCCTAAGGGGATGGGATCCCAGTTGGAACTGGAGCACCCAGGAAGGTCCTAAGGGGATGGGATCCCAGTTGGAACTGGAGCACCCAGGAAGGTCCTAAGGGGATGGGATCCCAGTTGGAACTGGAGCACCCAGGAAGGTCCTAAGGGGATGGGATCCCAGTTGGAACTGGAGCACCCAGGAAGGTCCTAAGGGGATGGGATCCCAGTTGGAACTGGAGCACCCAGGAAGGTCCTAAGGGGATGGGATCCCAGTTGGAACTGGAGCACCCAGGAAGGTCCTAAGGGGATGGGATCCCAGTTGGAACTGGAGCACCCAGGAAGGTCCTAAGGGGATGGGATCCCAGTTGGAACTGGAGCACCCAGGAAGGCCCAGGACCCAGGAATGGCTCCAGTTGGCAAGACCAGTTGGGAGGTGCTGGTGCCCGGATCCCGGCTGCTCCCAGCAGGTGGGATAACAGGACTGAGGGGAACACCAGGACCCCCAAACCGCTGGAAACCCCCACACCTG